AATTAATTAATTAATTAAAAAAAAAAAAAAAAATATATATATATATATATATATATATATATATATATATATAATATTAATTAAAAAATACAATGACAATAATAACCTTGGGACTTTCCAACTTCATATGAATTATATTACAACTTAACAGCCTAAATTCAAAATTTTAATGTATTTTATTCCGTCCTAATAATTTTAAAAAGTTAGACCCTGTTCAAACCAACTATAGCCATGAAGACAACGATGGTCAGTTCACAATGTTGGATGATAAAAGTCTCACATCTGCTAATTTAGAGAATGTTTATAAGTTTATAATCAAATAATACTATTTCTATTGGTATGAAGTATTTTGGAAGTTCAAAGTAAAATTTTTTATATTCAAAATGGACAATATCATACAGCTGTGGAGAATGTATTATTCTAACATACTATTAATTTGTAGTTTTTTTTTACATAAATATTATAATTTTTATTTAATAAAATTAACTTCAAACTAAAATAGAAATTATTTTAGAGATTTTAAAAAAGATAAAAAGAAAGCCTGAGTGTATTTATCGTCATTTCGCGGAGAATCCATCGAGATAAATGAAAACAGGTCAGAGGGGACGGACCAGCCAGCCACGTGACAGTGGCACTGGCGTAATTTAATAGTCAAAGCGAGGGTATTTACGTAAAAGTAATGACTGCCTCACCTCCAGTCCGCCGTGTCGATTCTCTATTCGCGTATCCAAACAAACCCTTTCGCCCACCTTCGTCCTCAAACTTCCGTTTCCTTAGACCGCTTCTTCTTCAATCTCCCTGTCACTGAGCGGGAGGATGGAGAAGAACGATGCCGAGGAGCTCACCGTCAAAGCTATGGAGTCAAATCTGAAACCTACCAGAAGCAAAACCTCCAATTCCAGAGAAGAAGGAGAAGTATCTTCCTCCGACAACGACACACAAACACATGGCGTACTTTCTTCTTCTTCTTCTTCCTCAATCTTCTCCTTCCGCTTCTCGTATGTTTTCCTTAATCATCTACTTCTCAATGCCCTCTCCATGTGTTCCTCTTCGATGCTGAGAATGATCATACATTCGTTACAAATTTTCCTTCTGCCTTTGTTTTTCTTTGGACATGGAGGTTACAATTTTCTCTCTACCTCTGTTTTTCTTGAATGAAGGCTCCCCCTAGCTTGATAGGCTATTATACCAATTGGAGTTCTAAGTTTGTGTTTATCTTGATTCTTGTTTGTATATAATAGAGAGAAGCTGTAATACTTAGAAGCTCAAAATTTTGCTCTACGCGGTAGGGTTTAAAGGTTTTAGTCGTGTCTTGATGATTGCAATTGGATATCACTTTGGGCTTGTGAATTGGTTTTGTTCTCTGGCACGGCTGTTCGGTATCTGCAATAGGTTTTCTGATTCACCGTGATTCACTGGGTTCCTCTGTAGTCAAGTTATTGTTTTCTTAGTTGTAGTTTCGTACGGCCTTTGAGGACTTTTTTTTACTTCTCAGGTTCATCATGTTCGTTCTGCTATGCCTGCTTCGGTCACATCACCAATATCATCCATTCTTCCTCCGAAGAATAAATGTAACGCAGGGATCCAGGCGGGTAAGTAATTCCGCGCTTATGGATGCGACACTGGCTTTTTTTTTTATTACATCGCGTATAAGTTCATTAACACTCCTTTCTCACTTTGAAATCGGAGACGTCATCTAAAAGTTCCTTTTATGTTATTATCATTATGAAGTTTTTGGCATACCTGCAATATAATCTCGTTGAATGTAGTGTAGTGTTTAGTCATATTATGAAACCAAGGACACTGGATACCTGGATGCATGATTATCTGTGGCGGTTACATGGATTTAGGTAACCTTGCCGAAATACTCTTCAGCTTTACTAAAGGTGAAGTGTGTACAAATCACTTTTCCTTCAAGTGCTGAAATGCATGATTATCTGTGGCGGTTACATGGATTTAGGTAACCTTGCTGAAATAGTCTTCAGCTTTACTAAAAGTGAAGTGTGTACAAATCACTTTTCCTTCAAGTGCTGAAAAGTCACACTAGCTGCGCTTCTTTGTAACTCTCATCTTTTATGAATATTTACTGCATTTAAGGTCCAATGCTTAAAGTTTTCCTGTTACTCTGGACTTTTGACGGGGTTCTCAAATTGTTGCCATTATAAATAAATTTTAGCGGTGCACTAATTTTTTTGGTGGTTTTGTTTTAATAGTATTTTATGATGTACAATATCTGCCACTGACAGAGAAGGCTGTTTCTGGATATACATTTTCAGTTTCTGCTGATGTTTGCCCAAAAACATCCATACAAACTACTATTCAGAAGATATGTGATAACGATCAAATTGTACATAAAGCTATTACTCCTTGGGTTGCTTCCAGAGATGCCAATGCAAATCTTGTGATAAGCTTCTCAGATGATAGTGGCAGTGACATGGACGAACGCAGTAAAGAAAAAACTTCAAAATCTCGTAGTAATGCTGTTGGAGATTTTAAACCTCCAACTTTATTACTTGATAAATCGAATAAGTTACGCAGTATGACAAGGAACAAAGTAGTGGCAAACAAATTTTCTTCAAGTCAATCATTTATCACTTCAAAGACAATGACTCAGAGAGCATGTTCCAAGGGTGCTGCAGGGCCCTCGTTCGTTGAACAAGGATCTAGAATCAGAGCTTTCAGTGGAAACCTACCGAGTCAAGGGCATCGAAATGATCAAGGAATGAATTTAAAGAGTAGTAAGCTGCAGGATTTGCGGGAGCAGATAGCCATTTGGGAAAGCAAACTGAAGCTCAAGTCTGCCCAACAGAACAAGGAGATCATTTCAGCTACAAACCAGGATTATATTGTCACAAATTCAAAATCTGATTTAGGTAGGAAAGGGAATGCTACCATCTCTCAGTTTCCTCCATCAGGGCCTACACAACCAGATGCAAAGCGCATGAAAACCATTGGTTCTTATTCTACCAAGCTGAGTTTAAGTGGGCAGCATATACGTGCAACAAATGCTGTAAAATCTGTTTTTCGGCCACAAGAGCCTGGAGAAGAGACACAGAACATTAAAGTCACTTATAACCAGAAAGGGAATTCTATGAATAGAGATGAGTTCATTGCGTTGAAGCAGAAGAAGGAAGATATCAAGCATGTGGCTGCTTCACCATCACCTGGAAGTGACCTTGGCAAAGTACATGATGGTGAATAATATGTTCATACTAAATTGAAAATTTAGATCTTACAGTTGGCGCAATCTTGCTAATCTATGGGGTGCCCAACTTGTTTGTATATTGCTTTGCAGGTACTGACATTGTTGCTAATGGCAATCAATCAGATTGGATTAGTAAGCAGGTGGATCCTCACCCTCTTGTTGTCTTAGGTCAAGCTTCGGTTCTCCCAAATACTGCATCCAATGTCCAAACTCTGTTTGTAAGTCAATAGTTGTACATGTGATTTGATGTTTTTCGCATTGGTGTATTTTAATCACATTGCTAAAATTCATTATACTACCCAGAAAATTCAGAAGTTGCTCCATTAAACCTTTGATTAACTTCCATTGTTTTATGTTTGACTATACTATCTGTGGAATCTCCTAAAATTGTGAAATTCACGGTGAAAATTACTTGAACTACATCAGTGTTATTGACAATGGATGATCAGATTCCTTGTCATATTTAGATGATACTAATTTTTTTGTTTATGCGAATGAACTTCTCTTCCAAATTATTTTCCCATTATCACTGAATGATCAGATTCCATGTCATATTTAGAAGATAATAAATTTTTTGTTTACGTGAATAAACTTCTCTTCCAAATTATTTTCCCGTTTATAATACATAGTTTTCCTCCTCTCCCCTTGAAGCATAATTTAAATATTTGTATCAACAGGATAATGGTGAGTTTCACAGTCCAAATGATGGCCTTCAACAATCTGCCTCAACTGCAAATTTTTCTGAAGGAACATGCCCTCAATCAGCATCCAATGTCAAGATACCAGAGTCATTCAGTAATTTCTTTAAGGTTTATCTTCAAGCCCAACTGTAACATTTTTAGTTTTCTTTTTCATCCCCTTTTATTTTTAGTTACATGACCTCCCTCTGAATTTATTTCTATTGCAGTCGTTGATCAACAGTAAAAACACTGGGACTGCATTTGGTAATCCTTCAAGTTGCTTGGGCTTCAGCAATGTTGATCTCGAATCACTATTTGAAATGGAGGAGTTGCTAGACAAGGATCTGGAAGAAGCACAAGATTTCAGGCACAGATGTGAAGTTGAAGAAAGAAATGCTTTCAAAATTTATTCTAGAGCTCAAAGGGCTTTGATTGAGGCTAACTCTAGATGTCTTGATCTTTATCACAAGAGAGAGCTATTTTCAGCTCATTTTCACTCATTTTGCATGAATAATCCTGGTTTAGTTAGTTCCTCAAGACAGCAAGAAAACATGAAAATTGGTGTGGATCACTCAAATAGTATGTCTGGAAATGAAAATAGAGCTTCTCCTTTGTATCAGAAGCATTCTGAATATAACAGTTTTACTCAGCTACGGAATGATTTAAATATGCAACATGAAAATGCTAGTCTCATCAATACTTCGATCCTGCATGAAAATAGACAAAATTTGGGGTCTGAGCCTGAATCCTGTTCTGACTTATGTGGTATTACATTGAATCCAGTGCCTTCTAAGGGCAAGAATATTGCAGACAGAATTTGCTCCCCATCCATTGAGCCAAACGTTTCAGTGGATGGAGATGAAGAGTCATTTCATTCTGACCATGAAATGATTGATTCGTATGATGAATGCTACATAGGAAAGAAACGCTTTGAAGATGATCAAATGGAGGCATGCAATATGTCGAAGAAAAACCACTATGATGATAACACTGAGGATTCTTTGCGTCTTGAAGCAAAATTAAGGTCTGAACTATTTGCACGTCTAGGAACAAGAAATTCGTCACAGACTTGTAATCCATGCCATAACATTCAGACTTCAGCGGAAAAGGGGGCTGAAAAAGATGCCAGAGATGATAAAACTCAGCAAAATTATACAGAACCTACAGTAAGACAAGCAGTTGGAAATGACATTGACAAGACCAAGAGTGCTTTATTATCAGGAAAGAGAGATCAAAAGTTTGGTTTTGGAGGTAATTTTATCTTTAGAAATGAGATTTCTCGGTCTTCATCATATATGATCTTACAGGCATGTAGGATGTAGATAACGATTGCACATTCCAGCAGTCAAATTTATCTTTATGTTATTATGGTTCTTTTGGTTCTTGCTTTGATTTCTAGTAACCTATATTTTCTTTTAACGACACCTTTTCAATGGCACCCCTTTTCTCCATGTTATTTTAGGTGAAAACTTTCTACCTACTAATGATCGTCACCCAAGGTCCTTACCTAAAGGCTGGTTTTAGATGTTGTCGTCTTTGAAGTGAAAAAATATAGGGAATTATGCTTATTAGTTAAATTGGGTCGGCTATTAACAATCTGGGTATTACATCTTTTTCGATTATCGATTTTGATAATTTAATTCTCTCATGTGTATGGGAAATCCTAAATAGGGAGATTCTTTCTTCTCTCTCCTCCCTTCCTGAAAACCCTAACCCAATTTATAGTTTATTTTTCTAAATTTAGTTCCTAATGCAGGCACAGACAGATGCAAGACCCCAGATGACATCCGTAGCCATTGTAATTTTGAGAACTTTCCATTAGAAACTCATGACGTTGCAGACTCTGATGTCAATGAACCATCCAATAGAGAAGGTCCTTGCTCTTATTTTAGTTATGCACCTCTGACTTTGAATAGTGTTTTGCAACATATGAAGGCCGTATCTTCAGTTAGTACAGAAGTCTTGCTCAGTAGAACCCGAGAGAGTCTCTCTAATCTTGGTTTGCCTGAGGAAGGGGATTTGCTAGAAGGAGATAGAATCCACTGGAGAAAATTAGAAGAGAACCATGTACCTGATACCGTCAGTTGTATGTTTCAGAGTGATGGCTCCTATACTGATGATCTTTCCATTGATCCATCTTGGCCACTTTGCATGTATGAACTCCGTGGAAAATGCAACAATGACGAATGTCCTTGGCAACACGTGAAGGACTCCTCTTTATCCAATAGGAGGCCATGTCAGGATAGCCAGAGCAACTATTCTGGTATGATAGTCTGATGTTTTCTTAATTGCATGGTTGCATTTTGTATTTTTTTTCATCTTCATCTTTTGCAGATTCTTGCAATGGACTATTGTTTTCTTCAGATGAAACAAAAGTCTTCAAGTATGAAGACCTTATGACTCCTCCAACTTACCTGGTTGGCGTAGATATTCTAAAAGCTGATTCACATTCATACAATCCCGTTTTAGTTCAGAAAAGTAGTAAATGCTGGCAAAACTTTTTTAGCGTTTCTTTGACGTTACCAAATTTGCTCCAAAAGGATGCTTCTGCTGATGGGCTATTTCTACATGATGCTCGTATAGAGGCCAAGGGAAGTTGGAATAGACAGTCATCATATTTTCAGAGTGGAAGCACTACATTGGTTTGTTCATTACTCCTTATGTATACCATTGGCTCAGTTTGCAGTTGAACATTTGTCTTTTTGACATGTGGCACATAATGACTATATTAGTAACTCATTCATATCTGATTCTGTCTCTCTTCTTCCCCTGCCATGCATGACTACTTGTCTTTTTCGTGTTTTTTGGTTAGAAATATCTTATTCAACAGTCTCGAAATGCTGTGATTACAGTACTTCATCAGTGTCACTTCAATAAACTTCATTTCCAATAGATTTTTGTCTGAATTATGATAACTCTTTTCTTTGTGTAATTTAAAGTATAACATTATATCTTAACCATCTCATCCTGGGAAACAGGTTACTCGTACCTTGCTCAAATTGCAGTACTTAGTTTGAATATTTTAAACTGAGAAACGCCATTTTTTTTCATGTTTTTAAAAAAATAATATTTGGGGTGGGAGATTCGAACCTCAGACTTCTTACTTAGTCGTGGATGTACATGTTTTATGTCAGTTGATATATGCTTGTGTTGACTTTTTTTCTTCTCCTTTTTGCACATTGTCATTGTGTGAAGATGATGCAGTTTCTTTTGGTATGCCTGTAGTTGGTGTTACCTTCTTTTTTCCTCTTTTCTCTTTTAGATAGAATTGTCCCTTTGTGAAGTTACCATTATGCTCTTTTTTCTTTTGGTATTACTGATTACTTATCCTTTTTCATCTTCCTGTTGTTTGGTCCATGATCTCACTTGTACTGATTTTTCTCACAACGACCATAAAGTTTTCTGTCACTGATTACTGAATACAGACCATTAACCATCTTTCTGTTGTTTGACCCATGATCTCACTTGTGCCAACTTCTTACGAAGTAGAGTCAGCTGAAACAGGCTGATGAGAACCAAGCTCTGGAAACAGCTCTAATTATTATTAACCAGGAAATGAACAGTCGAGAGGGCATGAAAAGGGTACTTCTTTGTTATTCTTTCTTTAGTTGATTCTTGCTTATGTGAACTATGTTGCAATACAGTTCAAAATTTTTCGATTTGCAGGCTCTTCCTATACTATCACGTGCTATAGAGAGTAATCCAAAATCTATAGCTCTCTGGACCATGTATCTTCTTATATTCTATAGCTATACAACAAACGGAGGGAAGGATGACATGTTTTCTTATGCGGTATGCATTATTGTTGTTCCTGCTCTACTATAGAATATAATATGGAAGTATGAATAGTACTGCAAAAACATCTTGAAAGATATTGATTAAATCTATGTTAATAATAGATATGATAAAGAGATAAAACAAGATTTGTGATGTCAAAGGTTTTTTCTTTCATCAGAATTTAATGAACACTGCTTAGTATTTTACCGAGCCTTAGTTATTCTTTTTATCTTTATCAACTTTATAAAGTGAGGATTTGAACACAATATGTTTTTCCTTTCACCTCTTGGTGATATGCTATTTATACAAGGTTTACAATATAGAAACTGATAGTTCAAAGTTCAAAGTACGAGGATTGGATGGTTTACGGTGATCCAAAGCTCCAAATTTTTTTGTCACGCATCTCAAAGTTTCTTCCACTTGTGAAAACAGTCAGTGTTGAAGTAACGAAAAAGCTGACTCTTACCGGTACTTTATTGGGGGTGCTATACTGAAAGGCTATGTTGCTCAATCAAATGGTGTTAACAAAAACTCTCTAGGATGTCGAAATTAGAACTATAAATTGTTTTAGATAATGGGTTAGGAGATGTTATCTACTTTACTCAATCTTGTCTTTGTTGAATATACAATGTATTAAATATGAAAATTATTGTAGTGCAGCTGTGTACATATGACATGCATCATATCAATTGATCTATGAAAATCTTTGATTTCGATTGAAGTATGGTTTTTGGCTATTATTTAGGTCTTTTCCTTTTAAAAGAAAGCTTTCTCCTTATAATTGTATCACCTTTATTATTAAATGCAAACTTGTCTCTTCCTCCATGCTTGAGTTGGTGGGCTCTTCTGTCCATTACTTATTTTCACTCGCTTAATCATGCATTATGTGGAAACCCTTTGCTCTCGTTCTTCAGGTCAAGCATAATGAGCAATCTTATGAACTCTGGCTTTTGTACATCAACAGTCACATGAATCTTGATGCTCGAATAGCTGCTTATGATGCTGCACTTTCTGCACTCTTCAACAATATATTGACTCAAATGGATGAGAAACGTGCTAGTGCCCATATCTTGGACCTGATTTTACAGATGACAAATTGTTTGTGTATGTCTGGGAATGTCGAGAAGGCTACTCAGAAGATTTTTGGACTTCTTCGAGTTGCAATGGATTCTGACGAGCCTGGTTCTTTTATGCATTCTGATATGCTCACATGCTTAAATATATCTGACAAATGTATTTTCTGGGTTTGTGTTGTGTATTTAGTTATTTACAGGAAACTGCCTCATGCTGTAGTGCAGCAGCTTGAATGTGAGAAAGAACTGGTCGAGATTGAATGGCCTACCATTCATTTGACAGATGGTGAGAAGCAGAGGGCTTCTACAGTGATCAAGAAAGCAGTGGATTTTGTCGATTCATGCTTGAACAATGAATCACTTGAAAGTCAAAGCTACCAGAAATCTATTCAAATGTTTGCTGTCAATCATATTAGGTGCTTGATGGCATTTGAGGACATAGGTTTCAGTAGGAACTTATTGGATAAATATGTTAAACGCTATCCATCTTGCTTAGAACTTCTTTTGCTTAATGTGTGGACAAAGAAACATGATTTTGGGGAAACGGTTGCAGCATTTGAAGAAGTGATCAGGAACTGGCCGAAAGAAGTACCTGGGGTTCAGTGCATCTGGAATCAATATGCTGAATATTTACTTCAGAATGGGAGGATCAAATATACAGAAGAACTAATGGCGCGCTGGTTTGACTCTAGTTCAAAAATAGGTTCTAGAACTAGAACATTGGATAATAGTGATTACAACTCCTTACACTTGCTAGATTATGCTTCAGGATCAATTGTACATGCGTTAGATTGCAGTCCCAGCGAGGTGGATTTGGTGTTTTGGTATCTTAATCTTTCTGTTCATAAATTACTGCTGAATGACCTATTAGAAGCACGTTTGGCCTTTGACAATGCTCTGAGGGCTGCTAGTTCTGGGACTTTTAAATATTGCATGAGAGAGTATGCTATGTTTTTGCTCACTGATGAATCCTTACTGAATGAAGCTGGTTCTGTCGGTGGAATAAGGAGCATTTTAGAGGGTTATCTCAGTGATGTACGAGCTTTCCCTGTCCCTGAGACATTATCAAGAAAATTCATTAACGATATCAAAAAGCCAAGAGTTCAGGTTCTCGTCAGTAACATGTTGTCTCCACTTTCTCCGGATGTTTCTCTGGTGAACTGTATTCTTGAAGCCTGGTATGGGCCCTCTCTTTTACCCCCAAAATTTAGCAAACCAAAGGAATTGGTGGATTTTGTGGAAACTATCTTAGAAATGTTGCCTTCAAATTATCAGTTAGTACTCTGTGTCTGTAAGCAATTATGCAATGGCAACAACTCTTCCCAAGTCACCTCTACCAGCCTCATTTTCTGGGCCTGCTCAAATTTGATCAGTGCAATTTTTTGTGCTGTTCCGATACCACCAGAGTTCATTTGGGTAGAAGCTACTAACATTCTTGTCAATGTGAAAGGTTTTGGTGCCATAACTGAGAGGTTTCACAAGAGAGCCTTATCGGTATACCCATTTTCTGTTCAGCTGTGGAAATCATACTACAACAAATGTAAAGCTAAAGGAGATACAAGCGCTGTTCTGCAGGCAGTAAATGAAAGGGGAATTGAACTCAGCTTGCCTTCTTTATGACAGTTTTATCTTCTTGGTAGGATCAGTTAACATACAGGAAAATTAGGATCAGTTTTAGTCATGGAAGCTGCCTCAATGTGTACAGATAGTTTACATTATACGGTTTTGTCATGCTAGGCACGGTAGTATTGCCAGTTTTGCTATGTCGTAGAGAGCTAGTTGCAGCAGCTAGGAATTAGAAAAATACTTGCACAGTGGAAAAAGGTTTGTCTGCAAAGTCATTGAAACTTGATTTATTGAGGCTGTCATCAGGTTTCTCAGCCAGATCCTCACTTCCTTCTTTGGCGGTTATATAAAGGTGTATCGTCGAATGCCAGGTTTATCCCTATCTTTTTTGGTAGCTGACATTGTTTCATCTTGTTCTTCAACCTTCCCCGCATGCTAGAATCAATTTCTAGAATAAACCTTACCCTTTTTAATGCAAGTACTAACCATTTTTAGGTTAGAATTTGATGCGGTTGAAATGCAATAGAACTTACTGAATGCTCATTGGTGAGTGTTCTTCTATGGCTGTTTTTGTACTATCTGCTAGCTTAGTTTGTTTGTTAAAGCCACGAGAAGATCAATTACAAGTTTGTGCTTCTATGGCTATAAACTTGATCACAAACTTCTTGGATGGCTTGTCTTTGGATTTGCCTACTGCGTCATCTTAGCCCCTCTATCAGTTCGTCAATGTGTAGATGGTTAGGACACATTTGATCACTCAGGTTTGTGTAAAACTTAGGAAGTGAGTTTGTATCTGATATGCAAGTTTATTTATTCAAACTTAGTTCATGCAAGAGTTAAATATTTCCTAAGATTTTATGCTTGTGAGTCCACTTAAATTGGTTGGAAGATTGTATTGATTTATTCTTATCTTGAATATTTGAACTTTTTATCTAAGAGTAAATGTCAATTATTATTTAGCAACTCAACCTTAAATGGTAATTTTATAATTGTATTAACTCATGATCTAGGCTGTTCATAAATATTAAGGTTATTATCTAATAAATAACTATTTGTTAGATTTTTTCTTTTTCTTTTTCTTTTTCGAGAAAGGATAACTTCGATTGTTCTAAAAAAATGGGTTGTCCGAGAAAATAAATAAATAGAAAATGCTTACTCTCTCTATGTGTATATCTTTTGAAATCCCTTGTTTAAAAGAAAAAACAAAACAAAACCTTGAAAATTATGGACCCCTTGGTTGATTAAATAAAAATGAATCATGTTGATTGAGTCGATGGTGTGCAAAAACATAAAAAGGCCAAACTAGGTTTGAACGGGTGACCTGATTCATGTCGATGTGAACGGTGTGCAAAAACATAAAAAACATAAAAGGGCCAATTGGGTTTGAACCAGTGATCTTTTGATCTACAGTCAAATGCTCTACCACTAAACTAACCATTGGTTGATTAAATAAAAAAGAATCAATGTCGACGTACTATGCTTACCAATGAGCTATGAAAAGAATCATGTCAATGTGGACAACTGGGTTTAAACCAGTGAATTCTTGATCTGTAGTCAAATGCTCTACCATTGAGTTATTGAACCGATGACCTCTTGATCTGCAGTCAAATACTCTACCATTAAGCTATGAATCCTTAGTTGATTAAACAAAAAAGAATCATGTTGATGGGGACATACTATGCTTACCAATGAGCTATGGATCTTTGATTGATTAAATAAAAAAGAATCATGTCGATGTGGACGGTGTGCGAAAACACAAAAGGGCCCAACCGGTGACCTCTTGATCTGAGCTATGAACCCTTAGTTGATTAAATAAAAAAGAATCATGTCAATGTAGACGGCGTGCAAAAACATAAAAGGGCCTAACTGGGTTCAAACCGGTAACTTCTTGATGTATAAACACATTACAACAAGTTTCCAGAAATATTGAAATTCGAATTTTAGAAACGATTTGTTACGAATTATAAATTATAAATGAATTTACTTGTAACTTGGAACATGTATAAATTAGTAACTTTCAAACCAAATCATAACTAGTTTATTCAAAATTCTAACGGGCATAAAACGTTACATTAGACATTAATCGAAACCCATTGAAATAAGCATCCCACCCTTAAATTCATGAACTGGAAGAGTTCCACAGAAAACGTACGTCTACACAAGGACATTTTTACCCTGCATAAGTAATCGGCGGTATAACCCCACAGCCACATATAAAATATCCAACCATCTAAATCCACGAAAGCCAAAAGAACAGTCATCCTTACAACTCTTGGGTGAAATTTTTCAAGAACAAGCCAATATCATATAAGCATAAAAGCACGTTTCGAGCCCACAATCTATGAACATTTCACGTAATTAACACCGCCGGCCAAATCTTCCTACAAGCCAGACCGACTTCTGATAACATCGAGCCCCATCTCAGTAGGATCAGTTGCTTGTAACTCCACTTGAATGCCGTCCAACTCCCTCTTGAACCTATCCTTGGAGCTTGCGTAAATCATCTTGCTTCTCACTCTTGATGTATCAGGAGACCTTCACACATCGCATTTGATAAATGATGGATTAGAATGCAGATTCATAAAATGAGTGAGGAAATCATTTGTAGTACATTTACCAGGCAATGAATATAATCCTGCTCTTCTGGCAATTCTCTTCGGTCACAAAATCGAAATCATAGACCGCGTATCGGCATTCATCAGCAGGTAGGCTGGCGGCAAAGTCCTCATAACTTTGAGATGGCTCGCCAAGCTTTTCCACCACGACTTGCTTCTGCTTTTCCTCAATCTTGAAAACTATAAAACGGTAGGTTCTTTTTGCCTTCAAATCCAGAAACCTAAGCTTGCAATCATCATGCACAGCCATCCCTGATGCTGCATTTGCCTGTGATAAATTTATTTACAAATGTAAATTATGAAGTCCTATTTTCTTCAGAAACCCTATTGAACATCCATCAGGATACTATCACCAACGGATTTAAAGACCCAAACTCACTCAATGTTTTCCAAGCTTTCAGTTCTTTAAACGAAAAATCTGCCTCAGATTTCCATAGAAAGAAATATGCATCCAAACTAGCCCCCTAGAAATAATCTTTTTCGTTGGTGAAATTTTCAGAAGTCGAAGATTGAAAAATATAGATTAAAGTTTTATCTGTACAAAATAAATCTTTATTTCCTGCGGAAGTTAACTATATAAAACATCCTTTTCATAATTGAATAAGCTTTTTATTTGATGATAGGCATATCCATTTTTTTTTTTCAAGGAAAAACAATGCGGGCCAAAGTTGACTTATAAGGTCTACAGATGTCCCATGAGAACTTTGAGATGGAATGCAAGGGCTCTGGAGGCCTAGACTTCAAATCATTCCCCTACTCTTCATGATACACCTGTCCTTGTCATCAATTGATTTCTTCTTTGAGGATCTCTTCAGCTAATCCTTTTCACTTCGCCATTCTGTGGGGAATAGGGCATAACACTAAACATCAATCTCTCAAAAGTGGCCCATTCAAGTTATTAGCATCACCAAAGTGTTTGGGGAATCCCCTACCAACACGTAGGCTTGGGGGTCAAACTTTTGAGCTAGTTTTTTGGTTAGCTCACAATTAACTTCCACTCGAGTTTCCCCTACCAAGGAGTTTTCATCATTGTTGTTAATATCATGTTATTCTAATAAACACTCACATGAAAATCATCTGAACGAACAGAACCCCCAGAAATCAAGTTCATATAACAATGCACCTGCAAGAGGGATCTGATCCTAGTTTCTTTTTTATAGAAGTTCTATTACAGTATGAACAGCCCTTTGGTAAAACTCCCAACTCTTTTTTTCCCTATTTTATTCTTTTGTAAGAAACCTAACTTTATTACAGTATGATAGGAGTAGGGAGAGAGAAAACCTAACTTTAAGATGGAATGCAGGGGGGATTTGATCCTCTGACTTTTTCTCAATACTCATTTCTTATTGCCATTGTACCCAACAGTGACCCTAGTCTTGAGTGTTTAGGAGAACAATTTTAACAAGCTCCTCCCTGAAATTCTAGAGCCACAAGCTTTAACTCCGAAACAAATCACACCTTCAAATATGATGCTTAGCTCTATAGTCTATGCCAACAAGCGTCCTATCCCCATTTCCTAACAAACGCACGCCAATGGTGATGGTGATAAGGGAGAAGCAAACTAAGAAATAAAAGGAAAATCACAAAGGATGAACAACATGAGGGAGAAGAGGGCGACTCATGGACTATCCCAAAGTGAAATAAGTTAGATTCATGAAGGAGTTTTGACAATGATCATACCAAAATGAGATGGACCGATGATAAAAAACCTCTATTTAAATAGTTAAATAGATGTTTTCCTTTCCAATCCAACACCCTTCAGTCTTCTTCTCCAACTTCATCAATAGAAGGTTTCCAAATTATATAAATTTGTGATAAATCATCATACAGTTTCAGGTAACACAATGCAAAATATCTCAATATAAGAATTATATCCATCAACAAAAATGCCAATGTTTAAACCACTAAGATGAAGCAAACATCTCACAATTATCATCATTAATGGGCAGGGGAAAATATTAAAAATAATAATAAACTAAAGGATTTAAAGTGAAGTCACAACACAAGGTCCCAGTGAAAAAAGGGATCAATGTACGAGAATGTAATAAGTCGATTTACATCAACGGTGGCCAATGCGTTTAGCCACTCGCTAACAACTGCATGTTATTCAATATAATCAACAATCTAAGGCCATTGAAACACTAAACAAGCGGACCAAAATGAACAACCATCAATCGATGCAGCGATTTACAAGGGTTCCGTTTCAAAACAGCCAAGAACTCCAAGGATCGAATAGAAAACCATAGAAGAGAAAAATAAGCAAACAAATTAACTAATGGGGAAAAAAAAAAAGAACAATAATCAACAAAACTAAGCCAGATAAATGAATCGAAATGGGCAAAGAAGAGGAAAAGCTCACCATTTTTCCGAGAAAGCGAAAGAAAGGGCGAGAAAGGTTGAGAAAATTTAGGGCTTCCACAGACGAGACGATAAAGAAGATAGAAGCGTGGGTGAAGAGAGGAAGACGATGGGATAGGAAACGAGGGCTGTACCGCGCAAGGCCTAAGAGATTCGACTGCTAATATTAAAAAAATAATTAATATATATAAAATTATAAAATAATAATAATTGTGGAAGCCATTCACCCTGGGGGTGGGGGCGATTGATAATATCACCCACACGGCTAAAAAACCGAACATTCCACCAATTATTTGGTTCCACCCAATAGTAGCGGTCGGTGTTGTTTGGGTCCCACTACGTGTTGCTAGTGAGTGAAAACTATCCGATTTTCCTTTGGAAAAAAATAAATAATTTTGGAAAATACCTTATAATTTATGCATCATTTATGGTAATAAATCATACACTTTTTTTGGATTTTTTTTTTAATTTTCCTCTAATTTATATTTTTCCAAAATTTAAAAATAAATACCGAAAATTATATTTAAACTAAATTCGGGACGAGATATGGGCCTGGGCCCATAATTTGAAGATGTACACGTTCGACGCTCGGGCCTAATTGACGAGACCCGGTTCGGAAAGAAGCCGAAAACCAAATCAATTTAATTAAACTTACTATAAATACGTTAGGGTTTCCAGCTTTCTCTCTTCTCTCCGCTTGAACCCTGGAAAGAAGCTCTAGTTCCCGCCCCTGCTCGTCGAACTTCTCGAAGTCTTCTCGGCAATTGCCGTACGTATTTAGAGTCTTTATTTATATCAATGTAGCTTTATATTCGCCAAGATTGATCTGCTAGTTTATATATTTTTTCATGTTAATCGACAGGGTACTGAATCAGGAAGTGTTCTGTTTTTCATGATTTATACGCTAGAGAGTGGGAAATTTTGCTGTTTCACTTTTATAGTTCGAATTCTGCGAGTTTATGATTGTTCTTCTGTATTTTTTTTTTTTTCGGGTTATAGACACAAGTCAATCCGCCTTTCTCCTTTCTTTACTGATTTATGGGTTGCTTGTATGCGTGCTGTTTTATTTTATATCATTTTTTTGGTATGTTTAATGAAACTCATTAGAAATATAAGCGGCTGATAATTTGTTTTTCGTATGTGTGTTATTTGAAGTTATATATGTTTTTCGGATCTTAGAGAGGCACCTGATAGTTTGTCATGGACGATAATGTGATTTTATAGTCATTCTTGCATTTAACTTTGGGGATTTTAATATTTGCAGTAACAATGGTTCGTGTGAGTGTTCTGAATGATGCTCTTAAAAGCATGTATAATGCTGAGAAACGTGGGAAGCGCCAGGTCATGATAAGGCCATCTTCTAAAGTTATCATCAAGTTTCTTAATGTCATGCAAAAGCATGGTAAATGTCAAGAAGTTCACTCTAGTCCTTTTCATTTGCACCTTAAACCTGCATGACTTTATTTTGTTCAAAACTTCATTGTTTTAGGATACATTGGTGAGTTTGAGTACGTTGACGATCATAGGTCAGGGAAAATTGTTGTTGAACTGAATGGCAGACTCAACAAATGTGGTGTCATCAGTCCCCGTTTTGATGTTGGTGTCAAGGAGATTGAAGGTTGGACTGCACGGTTGTTACCCTCGAGACAGGTAATTTACTTACTCTGAGACTGCTTATTTAATTAGTATTATGCTTACGATTTATTAGTTTTTGCCTAATCCAAACTTTTATGACAATAATTCGACTGTTTACAGTTTGGTTTCATTGTGTTGACAACGTCTGCGGGAATCATGGACCATGAAGAGGCCCGAAGAAAGAATGTTGGTGGTAAAGTGCTTGGTTTCTTCTACTAAGTAATATTGTGAGATCAATTTTTCTTTTTTTTTCGGTATTTTCTGCACTTTTTGAACTTTATTGGGAAGCAGTAGTGAGTCCTGTTTTGTTTTGTTTGTGCCGTTTTGGTTGGGAGGATACAGGATACCACCTGCATTCTTTTTGAAGACCTTGATATTGTTTAATGAGCCTTTTCTTTTATCTTCTGGGTTGTTTTTGGTTTGCACCTTAAACTGAAATTGTTGTAGTGGTTGTCTAGCTCCGGAATTGATTGCAGTTTTCCTGGACCGCAGTGATCTTCTTCAACCCATGAATTTGTATGTTGTACAACTTGTTTACGCTTTGGTTTCAGTATCTACACATCTTGGTTGTTTCCTAAACAGTTTTGTTCAACACTTGAGGCCCATTTTTCAGAAATAAACAGTTTTGTAGACTCCTAGAAACAAGTCTTATAGTCACCTTGTGGTGGTCAGTTTTGCTAGAATGCTTGATAAATGTTTGGGTATTCGGGTGAGAGATTCTACGTGAAAATGAGTGCAATGGCCAAGCATTTGTGTGGAAACCTCTCTAATAGACGCCTTTTGAAATCAGGAGACTGACGGAGATATGTAACGGGCTAAAGCGAACAATATTTAGTAGTGGTGGGCTTGAATTTTTGTTTACTGTTGGATTCCTTTCAAGATATGTATAGGCCACTTCCTATATAAAAACCAGAAGCTGTGTGTAGGTCGTTTGGTTTGAATTTGAAGGTAAGGATTAAATTCTTCTATTTACACGTTAAATTAAAAGAATTTGCCATTTGCTGACCATTAGGTTCCATAATTTGCCAATAATACAAAACATGAGATTGCAGTGAAGGTGTTAAGTATGTCTTCCATCTCTGTTTGCGATGTGGATGTACGATCATTTCTTAATTAAGAAACCCAATGTTTCAGCAACAAGAAAGTTAGTTTAGTTAAGTTTGAAACAAAAGAAGGTAAACGATTTTCATCATTTGTAGAATTGGAATATAGAGTTCTCCTGATCGTCTACAATGGCAACTGTTTAATTGCTTCCATTCCACGAGTTGTTTGGAAGTTCGAAAGAGCGTTCATGAAATGTCATTGTCGTTGCTGATGTTCAAGAAACAAAGGATTGAGCCATGGTCATCTATGATCATGTTAATAACGATTGAATCAAGTAACTTGACCTGATTTTAAATATGTTAGTTAGCATTAACAACATGCATGCCAAATCCACGTTATACTTATAAAGATAGGTGATTGAGTCATACAACTATGCAAAAGTATACATATTGATTTATGTGGCAGACCTAAATATAGTTCAAACATCATATTTTTTGCTCACTTTTCATCTAAGTTTGAGCTTAATAAAATTAGGTTTTTTAAATCCTCACTTTTCATCCATGTTTGAGCTTAAGAAAATTAGATTTATAAAATATGTTTGTATTACATTTTGATTTGAGTGTCAATGTTGCAAGAACGATAACCAGTTAATGCATTATATTCGATTAAGAGGTGAAACGTTTAAATGGAAGTTTATAAAATTTTATATCATGTAGTAAATTTTATCTATAAATTTAAATTTATTTATTTATGTTTATACTTCAAATGAATTTTAAATAAATGATGTTAAATATTATAAAATATACGGGAGTACTAATAATTGAAACTTAATATTAGAATATGGCTTAATCCTTCTCCTATTGAAATTAAATAATATTTTTATTTAAATATGGATCATGAGTTTTAAATCATAGAAGTTGAACTACAATCGTCTTAATTTATTAAATTGATTTTGCATTTAAATTTTATTATGCCTCTGAGAGTTAACAAGGATACGTATATTAACTTTCGCGCGTTCCTGAATCCTGACATTGAGATCTGTTTTAACAGGATATCACGGCACAAAAAGGAAAATGTCAGTTGCTCATCGCTCTCTGGTAATTCTTCTTCCACCTCTCTTCTTTTTTCGTCACAGATTCTTACAGTTGCACGTTTCTTTTTTCTGGTGGTTGGAGAATTTCTCGTTCTGCGATTCGGAGTTTATCTATGCATTTCAACGTTTCTTGATTTCTGTTAACTTGTTCTGAGGTTTTTCACGCTTCCTGATACTATATTATTGCGGAATTCCATTACGAGAACCTTGTTTTTGTCGAATGTTTGTTTGTTTGTTAACTTGTTATTCTCAGCGTGTTACATGTTCGTCTTCGATCCGGTCCTTTTTGTTTGTTCGTGTTTTGAATGCATTGCAATCTGATGAACTCAACTTTTTCCAGACGGTTGCAGTAATAGTTTGTTCTTATGTGTTCGTTCTGTTTCTGGTTTTATAGAGCTAATAGACTAAGTTTCTAATTAGATAGTTTTTACGACGTTACTTTGGCAGGACTGTTTTACATCCTTGCAGAATAGTTTCTTCTGAACATCGTTTCATTATATATTGATGCGAGAGTTCTTTTAGGAGTCTACAGGTTATAGTTTATAGTTTATAGTTTATAGTTTATAGTTTATACTCCTTTCTAATTCTGTTTTGTTTAACTTTTATTATTTCTATAAATGATTGTAGAGCTCAATTTTTCTGAAGTGGGAGGAAGATCGTTCTGTTTTAGTTCACTACTTTGTCGTTCATGTCATTTTTTGTAAATCTTATTTGTCATTTCCCCCCTCTTTTCAGCGTCTTAATTTGTTATTGCTTATGAGTTTTTTCGAACACAAATTTCTAGAATGTCATTCTTTTATATTTAGTTGCGTGTTCTTCTTCTTGCTGTTTTATTTGATTCTCTAATCCTAAGCTTTTGCTTTCTCATTAGTAAGAGAGGAATGATGGGTATCTTTGGGTATTAGCTCCAAGAAATTCAGATTTGACTCATTTTTCTGATAAACTAATACGCAAATTTTGAGGTTTAGAGCAAACTCTGCTGTAGCAAAACTTGCCATTAATGGAAGCATATTGCCGAGGATCATGTGTTGGGAGATCAAGGATCAGTACAACTCAAAATTGATACTCCGATTCCACACTTTTTAAATCAAGAGCTCAAGGCTCTCCAGTTCCACGTCTTGTTCTGCTTTCTAGGCTTACTGATAGCTTCTTAGATGGAACTAACAGTGTCTACTTGGAGGAACTTCAAAGAGCTTGGGAGGCTGTTACTACCAGTGTTGATGAGTCATGGGATAGTTTCTCAAGAGAGTAAGCGTTTATTGTTGATTGTGAGAGTATATCAGGTTAATGGTCACATGAAATCCAAGTTGGATCCCTTGGGATTGGAAGAAAGGAAAATTCCTGATGAGTTGGACCTTGCACATAATGGATTCACGTAAGCTGATCTTGATCGGGATATTT